TATGCAGAGAGTTGCTCTATGGATGCGGTTCGAGCACGCATTGCGTGCGCATTGCTGAATCATAAAATTGCCGATCTTGTTTTAAAGTAACCTCATGTATTTATTTTTAGTCACTTTTGGAAGATGAACCTACGTACAATATTAGTACAAACAAAGGTAGATGTTAGTATTTTATTGTGTCGAATTTAGTAGTTTGAATATTAGTATTTTTTTGTGTCGAATTTAGTAGTTTAGACAAAGTAATCCCAAATATGTTTGAAGACATTCAAAGAGATGAAATGCATATTGACATTACTTTCTTACATTCAAAACCCACAAAAATACAAATAAATGCTCCTTAGTAAATGTCTTGCATATTGTCTGTATTGTTCATCATTATATGTATAAACGCATGGGACAACTAGTATTGTTTTGTGTCGTGTCCAACAGTTGACGATTTATTTTAAATTAAATATCAAAATTAGTATCATTGACCCCCGTTATATATTATTTCAATTGATGTCCATATTGAATTATTGGAACAATAATATGGGGTAAGTTACTAATAGTCAAATTTTAACATGATAAAAAATGACATAAAATTTGATAATACCAATATTTATTTAATTTGTTCGTTTAGTACGATCTGCATATACACTTAGTACTATGCTGGTACACATGCAGTAGAATCATGTGACATAATGAGTACATGCAAACTACTATATGAAAACAGTTGACTGCATTTTTCATTATGGGACACACATTCACTAATGTCGTTTGTTACAAAGAACAATAACACAAATAAACATTAGTAAACAACTTCGAACAATCAATTACAAAAGATCCAAAATTAATAAACATTAAAAAATAACAACACATCAGAAAAAGCATAACAAGTGTATAAATATTTCAATACATGACACCAAAGGCATTAACAACAACAAGGCCTAGATGATTGCTTGTTTACAAGAGCGACGGTTATACCACACCGTTTACACTTAGTAACACGAGTCTGAACTTGTGAAGGAATTCTTTGAGTTCTTCTACGACCCGCCTGAGATCTCACATCAGGTGCATTAATGACATCATCATCATCATAATCTTCATTCCAAAAATCCATATCAAAGGTAGGAATAGGGTTTAAAATTGGCTGGTAAGTTTCTTTGTACATATCAATCTTATAGTAACGATCCATGTAATCATATACCGAAAGTCCTTTCGAATCGATACATACACAAGCATGCTTGCACAGTATCTTTTCGATCTGCCATGCTCTCCAAGAACAAGTCCATGCATGAAAATCCACAGCATATGATTTCTCCTTTTCAATGACCTCAAAATTCCAAGTGCCAAACATATCAATCCTTAAAGTACGTGTGGTCGTATAATCTAGTGATATCTTTTTTTCTTGTTTTTGGAAAACTTCTCCAACCATCGCATATGAGTCTTCTCGTCGATCATGCATAAACTTCATTATTTGCTTGCGAATGTGATCGACCATAGTTACAACGGGCATAAATCGGGCCTGTTTCATCCAACCATTCCAACATTCTGCCTGATTATTATTTATCACGCCCCATCGATTTTTAGGAAATAGTGAATTCGCGCAACATTGCGACTTAGATCTCATAATAAGTCCTCAACAAGAGGCATTGAATCTAAAATATTCTTAATGTCGAACTTGTACTGTTGCATTGTAGGAGCATAAGCAACTTTTTTCAAGACAGAAGCCTAATGAGTCTTGTTATGTAAAGGGTATCTTCTCAAAACCTGTATTTAAAAGTAAATAATATTGCATGCTTTGTTACGGATCATGTTACAATATGTTTTTCTTCTTCAGCAACCAAAAATAAAAAAATGTTCCAGTATTAAATAATCACAATGTAGTAATTTATGTTTAATGATTTTCTACCGAATATGTCATGTTGCATGCCTTTGTACTAATTTGTCAAAAATAAATATGAAATTTTATGCAATATTGGATTTGAAAACAAAAAATAAATTTGTACCTATTTCTTGAAATTATCCACCAAGTGATGTAAACAATAAGCATGGTGGCTCCCAGGAAATATCATGGGGACAACCTTAAGAAGACCTGAATGTCGATCAGAGAAAAAAATATACCTTGTTAACCTAGTTCCATAGGGCCCTTCTAAAACTTGTCTTAACTTCTTGCAAAACCACTCCCGGTTAGTATCATTTTCTGCATCAACAACTGCATATGCTAGAGTGAATAGATCGTCATTAGGATCCTTACAAACAGCACTAAGAGCCCGTTTGATTGCACTTAATGGCCATCTTAATGAATCATGGGCTGACCGAGTCAGCAAATTAGCCATTAAGCCCATTTGGTACCAATATCTGAACGGGTCCGTGAATCTCTTAACGATTCCGCTAAAAATCTGACGCTTACTCGGTCAGAGCAACATCTGAATGAATTCTGGACTCATTTATCCATAAATAATCTTTTAAATTTCTACCCTACCTCATAACACGATAGTTCTCATCTCCTTCCCTATAAAAAAAATCCCCTCAAGGCGACTGCTGTGAAAACCACAAAAATATCACACGGGAATTGTTGACGAGATTTTTTCAAATAGGTAAGTTATATCTTTCTTCTCCATCAATCTCCTACAAAACAAGCCTTTATATTCCTGTGTTTTTGTGTTATAATAAATATGTTATTTAAATTCAGGGTACATAGGGCTTTACGTAGATTCTCTATCAATTATTAATAATAGGGTAAATTGTGAAAGAGTTGGTGATAATTTGAAATTGTTTGAAATTTTTATACAACCATCATCTGTGTGTTTTTATGAAAAAATTGATATCCTGTGTAATTTCTTTCCATGGGATATAAGGCTGCTTAGTTATTAGCAAGAAGTTCACTTGAGTTTGTCGTTTCTTGTTCTTGGTCTGATGTTTGACTTTATATCACACTTTGTATATTTTAATTCACATTAATGCTATATCTTTTATTTGTCTGAAGTTTTGTTTTTATTTCAACTAGTTGAAGAGATTTGTGAGAATATGAGAACTATTAATTTTTTTTTTTTATATCGCAACACACCATATGCTTTAATAATTAAATAAATAAAAAAAGATAGAGAAGAAGCATTATTGTGAGCAACAGGACACCCCTGGAGTTTGAAAAAATTCATTTGAGTGTATATTTTTCTTTCATAAAAAAATTTGGAGGTATTCTATTGCAAATTATTTTTATGCATTTATCTGTTATTTAATTAGGATGGTGAAAAAGGTGAACCCCTATAATTCAAGAATGAATACTTTATATAGATATAGTTATTTGGTGCATAAATAGTTATAAAGTGAGTAAAATATGAAGAGAGCTGGGAACAATACATGTTTTCTGGTTTAATATTTTCACTTAGCTCAGTTCTTGTTTTATTAGGTGTTTATTTATATGTAGCAATGATATGTGTTATTGTATCTTAGTTTTAATTTTTATTTTGTACATGAACATCCATTAGTGTAAGAATGGATGAATCAGATGAAAATAATAGAGGTAGATGGAATAATAACGAAGTCGATAAATGTTTCCTCGAATCGTGTATCCAAGAAGTTGCTTTAAATGGTAGAGAATGGGGAAGTCTTAAGGCGGAATCTTGGACCAAGGTTATGAAAGCTCTCAAGAATAATTATAATTTTGTGGTTTCTCAAAGACAAATGAAGAATAGATACGATTACTTGAAACAAAAGTATCAAGCTTGGTTGCCTTTAACTACGAAAACATGCAATGTTTACAATCATGCGACCAACACCATCAACATGACAAAGGATGAGTGGACCGAGTATATAAAGGTCCAATGTTAAAGTTTATTGTGTTATCTCAGTACTTTTCATTAACCATTCCACTATATTAAGAATTATTTGTTACCTAAATACAAGCACATCCTAAAGCAAAGAGTTTAAGACTTGCACCGTTACCATATCCAGATCTTTGTAGAGCACTATTTGATGGAACCACTGCTACAGGGGTTCATTCTTGGGGACCTAGTTCCCAAGATCCAAATCCTAGTACTAGCTCATTTTCTTCAACTGTTCAAAATGCGGAACAAAATAACATAGAAGATATTTTGTGTGGTGATGAAGATCAATATTTTGTCCATACTACAGAGACTCAGTCTAACGATTCCAACCGTCAATCTCAAGGAGAAAAATCTAAAAAGAAAAAGAAAAAGATTCAACATTCGTCTAGTGATAATAATTTAGTAGAAGAGATGTCAGCAGCTTTGAAGTTTATGATAAAAAATAATAGTGGGCCTTCAGTTACAGATTGCATTGCTAAATTGGATGAACTTGGATGGGATAAAGAAGACATCTTATATGTTTCAGCTGTTGTAATCTTTGGTAGTTGTGCAGGACATAGAGAAGCTTGGGTGGCACTCCCTAAGGATAATGTGGGAGTTCTGAAAGCATGGATTAAAAGAATTGGACAAAACATGGGATATGAATTTTAACTTACAAAGGATTATGTATGAAAATTTAAGAATTTAGTAGTATTCATTTATATATGATTATGGATTTTTTTTAAGGTTTCGTAAGTCATTGTGAGCTTTTTATGGTGTTTAGTTTCATTTATAGTGACGATAGACTTGTTTAGGTGGTACGTTTTTAATAATGATACACTTGTTTTACACTTACATTCTTGAATTGATTTCACTTTATGATTCATATTTTTCATATAAAATGTACATTCTCAAATATTGAACTGTTCATTTATTTTAACAGGTCAAATATGCAAATATACGAGATTATGATATTGATGATGATTTATTGGTACACACAAATTCGACCAAGATATTTGATGTGTGTACCAAGAAATAGAGATAACAATTCAGCATTCTCGGGACACGCTTACACATTAGAGCTATTGTCTGAATCAGACACACAATGTATTGAATTAATGCGCATGTCCCGTGTTGCATATATTCATTTGAGCATGCATTTTAGACAACGAGGGTGGCTACATGAGTAGACATGTATCAGTAGAAGAAAAAATGGCAATTTTCTTGCAGATTATAGGGCATAATCAGCGTCTTCGCGTAATGAAGAGTAGATTTCAACACTCTTCACAAACAATTCATGTATATTTTCACGAAGTGTTGAGTGCAATGATGAATATGGCAAGAGAGATAATAGTGCCTACAACATTTGACCCGAATCCAAATATTTCGGCAAGTTTTAGGAGGTTACAACGAATTTTTAAGGTATATATTGAATTGTGTCAAAAAAAAAATCGTCGTTATTTAATTATCTTGTTTATGTAACTTCTTTTTAATTTAAATACAGGGAGCAGTTGGTGCACTTGATGGAACACTCGTACACGCCATTGTCCCAATTTCAAAACAAACTATGTACAGGGTAGAGGAAAGGGAGAATGCTATCAAAATGTTTTAGGAATATGTGACTTTAATATGATTTTTACGTTCGTTTGGGCAGGCTGGGAAGGGGTAACACATGATTCAAGAGTTTTAACAGAAACAATTGCTGATCCGAGAAACGGTTTTCCATGGCCTCCCGCTGGTATTACTTTAAATTCAATATAAATTTCAATTATTTATACTTTAAATCTAATGTTACTTTATTTATGTAATGATTACAGGTAAATACTATCTTTGTGATGCTGCATACACACATACAAGAGGATTTATGGCTCCATATCGTGGTGTACGATATTGGTTAGGAGACTATCGTCGTAGGCGTGCTTTGACCAAAGAAGAAAAAATTAACCATGCTCATGCTCAACTAAGGAACGTCATTGAACGAACTTATGGAGTTCTGAAAAATAGATTTCCAATTTTAGAAACGATGGCCCATTTTTCATTTGACGTGCAGAGAAATATAGTGATTGCTTGTTTTGCGGTGCATAATTTTATAAGAAAAGAGCGTATTAGTGATAGATTTTTTGAGGAGCTTGATCAACCCAATGTGCCTTTTGATGGTGCGAATGAGGATGGAAAAGATCATGAGAATGATGGTACAACAACCGGACCATGGTGGGGGGAGGAAGACATGCAGTATATGGCAAATGTCTGTGATGAGATAGCAACTCGGTTGATGCATTGAGCGACCAATTATAATTTTATTAAATATTTGACGTTAATTTTAGTGACTTTAATCTTTTAAGTCAATTTTAGCTACTCTAATGTATTTTTATATTTTTGCTACTTTTATTTGCGAATTTTATATTTATTAGTTGTTTGAAATTTACATGTTATCTATGTTAAATATTTTAAATTCATTCTACAACAAAATGTTTGATGTCCGACAAAGTTTTATATTTTAATTTAATTGACAAAGTAAAATGTTGCATTAAATAAGGGTATAACAGGAAAATAACAATATTCAGACATTACTGGTATTTTGTTATCAAATGGACTTAATTGTTCAGCATTCAGCATTCAGTCACAACTCTTAATCATTCAGAATCAGATTCAGCATTCAGCATTCAACGCTTAATCCTATCAAATGGGCCCTAAGTAAGCACCCTTTATACTTACTTTTGATATATATTCCATCTAAAAATATTAGCAGCCTACATGCCCGTAGAAAACCCACCAGGAAAGCATTGAAACATGTGAAAAGGCGAAGAATGTTTTGACTAATTGGGTCAACTTCATATTGTGCAACGCTCCCTAGATTTGTTTGTCTAACTGCAAGACAATACCATCTCAATTTATCATAACATCCTTTCTCCGTCCGCCCCATGGATATCATGCATAGCAATTTATTTACCTCTCCATGCTTTGTGGTACTTAAGTTCGACACCATATTGTCTGTTGATATCATCCAACACAGTAATTGGCCTGTAGTTTGGATCTCCTCTCAATTTATCCTTTATAATGCTAGCAACCCAACCAGAATCAGCTTTAGGATGTCCCGGCGCGCGAAGATTAACCACAATACATGTGTGCTCAAGATTACATTTTCTAATGCCAAATAGTTTGTCAGAATTGTGCACCGATGCATAAAATCTCCATTTGCAATATTTATCGCAATAAATTGCTATAATTTTTGCACTGCCATAATTTTTGTACACAAATAACTGCATATTGGCCACCATATAATTTTTCAGCATTGCTTTAAACTTGTCGACATCCTTTGAATGTTTGACCCTCGCCAATGATCAACATCTCCACGCATCAATTGAGTTCCATACTAAAATCATTTCATTTTGTGATGCGCAATGGAATCTATACAGTCCTCCAATGCATTCCTTTGAGTTAAAAAATGGAGAAAAATTAAAAATAAATATTGAATAACGCAAAGTGTGTGTACGGACAAATAAATTGCAGCAATGTATAAAAAAATTTAACAATGAAAATAAGTAAAATCTAAAAGTTCCCTGCTATAATACTAAATGTCTCATCCTTCATTTTTAACTGAGTCATGTTTCAATACTACAAATTCCATGGTGTACTACTAGATTTTTATGATTCAGTATGTAACAAATACAATATAGCTATACAAGTAATTTGATTTAATAAAAAACACGAATCCTACAATCATAAACTCCCATTTTGTTTTTGAAATTTTAACTACAATAAACAATGAAAAAGTCCAGCCAACATTTTCTTCTCTTACAATCTAACCCCTGATAAAAAAGGGCTCGTTTGGAAGAAAGATGGAGTGCGGCCAGTAGAGTACATGTAAGGCACAGTCGGGTTGCTCACGCAGCGGATCTTTATTATTATTTAAATAAATAAATAATCGAAAAATAAAAACTGAATAAAATAAAAGGACAAAGTAGTAATGGGTAATGGGTAGGGAATATGCTTGAGAAAAAGTGTAGGAAATAGAGGGAGAGTAAATTTGAAAATAAAAGAATGTTGGGTCCCTCATTAATAAAAGAATAGGGACTGGACACATTCTTATTATAATCTTAATTTTGGTTATGCCATAGTAATGGAAATTTTTTTTTCTCAAATATTATAGAAAACTAATATATTTTGACTTGAATAAAATAAGATATGAAAGTAAATTATTATTATTATTTTTTTAGAGGTAGGCCCGGTTATTTTTTTTAGTAAATTCAAGTCCATTGCAAGGGGAAGTAGGGGTGGGGGGGACTCGAACCCTAGACATTTACCCTATTGGTAGAGGCTGTGTACCAACTCTCCTAATGAGGGTTGGTTAGATATGAAAGTAAATTAAAAATAACTACTAATTTAATATATCAATATGGAGAGATGAAAGAGTATACACCTACATCACATATATTTTTGCGTATGTAGATGTTGTTTGTGCATCTAGTTCTCATAGTACCCTTATATTGAGATGTAATATGTCTATTTGATAGGGTCAGTTTGGCAAGTTTCCCCCAAAGTTGGGCACTCAAGACGAAATAAGGTGAGCCATGAAAATTGAAGGGATTTGAGGAGCCGAAAGCCCATTATCAAAGGTTATAAACCACAAATAGCTCGCCACTAGAAAACAGAAAAACTCACTACTTAAAAAGGGCGCAAAAAGAGGTGTTTGCCTGGGAAATGAAGATTCGGAAGAAAATGTGGTAGTTGGTGAGCCTGCGAAGAACTATTGGAAGAGCAAGACGTTGGATTTTCATACCATTTATAAATTCGGAAAGTAAACCAATAAATGTAAATCTCAACCTAATTAAGCCGAGTTAAAATAGGAAACAACTAGAAATGTTCTCCTATATTAAGTCTTCTAATAAATCCAAGTAAGATCACGGGGACTCAATAATGAATAAGACTTTGATACTCTCTCACAAACTCTCTGATTTATTATTTTCCGTTTGTCGCTTCGCCACTACCGGTCTAAGATCTGAGGTCCGGTGTGCTTGCCATGGTAAAAAAAAAAATAGGGATTGCACATTAATGTGACTTCGTTTGTGATTTTGTAGAACATTTTTATTTAGTAAAACTTATTTTATTTATTATTTACTTATTCTAATTTCTTTCTTAAATTTTAGTTATATAAATTAAATAAGTATTACAAACAATAATTTTTCATCAATTAATTCACATCTCAATTAATTATGAAAATCTACAATTTCAAATAAAATATAATTTTCAAAATGATAAGTTCAATTTTTCTAAGTGAAACTTAAAAAAAATATAAATAGTGGTGTTGCCATTTGGATGCCAGAAATGATTAACAGAAAGTCAAATATTTTTTGCCATTTGAAATGGGGACAATTGAAAACAAAGTAAAAAAACAAGTGTGGCGCTATAGACTGCTGAAAGCTTGCCTCTCCATCGACGATACACACTAGTTTAGAAATTTCTCTTGAAAGTGCTACTTTTCTATAAAATTATCATATTTTGTTAATTGTCTCCAAATATCCCTTTGTTAAAAATTTGAGGTTTATATTCTTTTTAGAAAAAAAAAATATTAAAGTATAATTTCCATATTTATATTACGAAATAAATGATGAATGAATAAAAGAAGTCGAGGCAAATTATTTATTCTTTGTCCGTAAAAATATTTACCCGTATAAGTGCTCACATTCGTAGTCCATTATCCCCAAGATACAACGACTTCAGGGATTCAAATTTTGCAGCACAACAATATTCGAATTACAACGAACAAAAATAGAGCCTTGAACTTTCTTAAACACGCGGGAAATGATGAACAATATGCTTTTGAATACTATGAAGTGCACGAATTCGAATGAATGAATAATTCTCTGGCAGAGGGTTCGCTCTATAGGGCTGAAAAAGTTGTGTGCAAAAGACACAAGTTTCTGGAAAAGAAGGGGCTGAAAAGGTACATACATTTTCGCATTGATCAAAAACCAATTCGGTTCAGAAGCCACCTTTTGGATGAGAGGGAGCCACTTGGCGCACACGTGGATGATGATGTCATCGAGGACACATGTCCAGTTCCGATTAGCTAGTTTTAATTAATTAAACCGACAAAAGTTAGTCAGTGAGTTCAAAATAGGCCCAACTCCAAACCAAACATTCTATAGGCCCACGTAGCACAGGCACACGCCCGGGTCAGGCAGGGCAGCGGCGCGCGTGTGGCTATCTACTATTTAAAGTGTTCATCAAAATATTTTTCCAAAGAGGGATGATGTTTTTTCACCTCCTATTTCCCATAAATAATCTTATTTAAGTCTCCATCTTTAGACATTAATTTATCATTTTATGAAAAGTCATTCTTGAGAAATTAACTACATTAGATTCATGTAGTCGAAGTATTGATCGTAAATATTCTATTTATTTCCATTTTCGATAAACAAAAGCCACTTAAATATTTTATTAAAGTTAGGAATAAACCCATTTTTCTAACATTTTTATTCCTTCAATTTATGTGTGGAAATATAATAGAAAAATAATATTTGTATGGCAAACAACATTTCAATTATCCTAATTACTAAAAACTCATCTTGTTATTTTTATTAGTAAAGTCTAATGTGATCGACAAAAAAAATGAAAAAAAACATAACTCATCAATTAAGGAATTGTGAGATACAAAAATGTACTCTTTTATTGTATCAAATATTTGCTTGATTTTTTAACTTTTGATATGTAGATAGTATCGGTTGTTCAATTTATCTATCCTTGGCATTTTATTTTTTGCACCACATTTTAATTGATTATCTTTGGGATTTATTTATTACATAAAATATTAGTCTTTATTGATTAATGATTGGTGCAGAGTGAAATATGTAAACTGCACATGAGTCTTACAAAATATCGCATATTATGTAAGAAATACATCCTGAATAAAAAAAAACATTGTTTTTCACTTTGCCTTTTGTCTGCAAATTCACGTAAAAATGTACACGTCAAATTGGATTATTATTTGTTTGTTTTTTTACATATCAGGTACTGTGTTATTGTTATCGGCCAGGTTTCCAGTGTTTGAAGGAGCTCTCGACGCGTACTGTAGATTGTAGAGTGTCTGGCCATATGGTCAACACACATAAAAGTTCATTCATCTTTGGCAAATCTTGTGCTACTAGTGACATTTCCCATATTCGCTGGACCCTGGGTTTGTCAGTCATGAACTTCCCCCATCACCTATGTAGGAGTTCCTTTGTACTGTCGGAGTGGTATGTTTTTTAAGACCCTCCTCCAGAAGATGAAGAATAGTTT